ATTAGCTACAGTGCCATGGGTTGCAAACTTCTTGATAATGTTGCGCACTGTGGACAAAGGCAAATCTAGTTCTCTGGAGATGGACTTGTAACCTTGAGATTGTTGATATTTTGCCACAATTTTGGTTCTCAGGTCCTCAGACAGTTCTCGTCTCCTCTTTCTGTTGTCCATGCTTAGTGTGGCACAGACAGACACACAATGCAAAGGTTAAGTGAACGTCTCTCCTTTTTATCTGCTTTCAGGTGTGATTTCTATATTGCCCACACCTGTTACTTGCCCCAGGTGAGTTTACAGGAGCATCACATGCTTGTAACATTCTTATTTATCCGCAGTTGTGAAAGGGTGCCAATACTTTTGTCCAGCCCATTTTTGGAGGTTTGTGTGACATTATGTCGAATTTGCTTTCTTTTTCCTCCCTTTTTTTGTTTTGTCCCAATACACACAAAGGGAATAAACATGTGTATAGCAAAACATGTGTTAATGCAATACGTTTCGTGAGAAATACATGATTTCCTGGAGAAATATCAAGGGTGCCAACAATTTCGGCCCATGACTGTATAATCATAAATAAAATGACTGCCTGAAGTTTGGAACCCATTGACATTACCAAAGACTGGGTTTCCTCCTTTCTGATGCTTTGCCTGAAGTCTGGAACCCATGGACATGACCAAAGACTGGGTTTCCTCCATTATGATGCTTTGCCTGAAGTCTGGAACCCATGGACATGGCCAAAGACTGGGTTTCCTCCTTTCTGATGCTTTGCCAGAAGTCTGGAACCCATGGACATGAGAAAAGACTGGGATTCCTCCTTTCTGATGCTTTGCCTGGAGTCTGGAACCCATGGACATGACCAAAGCCTGGGTTTCCTCCTTTCTGATGCTTTGCCTGAAGTCTGGAACCCATGGACATGAGCAAAGACTGGGATTCCTCCTTTCTGATGCTTTGCCTGAAGTCTGGAACCCATGGACATAACCAAAGACTGGGTTTCCTCCTTTCTGATGCTTTGTCTGAAGTCTGGAACCCATGGACATTACCAAAGACTGGGCTTTCTGCTTTCTGATGTTTTTCCTGAAGTCTGGAACCCATGGACATGACCAAAAACTGGGTTTCCTCCTTTCTGATGCTTTGTCTGAAGTCTGGAACCCATGGACATTACCAAAGACTGGGTTTCCTCCTTTCTGATGCTTTGTCTGAAGTCTGGAACCCATGGACATTACCAAAGACTGGTCTTTCTGCTTTCTGATGCTTTGCCTGAAGTCTGGAACCCATGGACATGACCAAAAACTGGGTTTCCTCCTTTCTGATGCTTTGTCTGAAGTCTGGAACCCATGGACATTACCAAAGACTGGTCTTTCTGCTTTCTGATGCTTTGCCTGAAGTCTGGAACCCATGGACATGACCAAAGACTGTGTTTCCTCCTCTCTGATGCTTTGCCAGGCTCTAACTGCAGCTGTCTTCAGTTGTTCTTTGTTTGTGGGTCTTTCTGCCTTTAGTTTTGCCTTCAGCAAGTGAAATGCATGCTCAGTTGGGTTTCAGCCCATATCCATTATATAATTATAACTTGAATATGTTTTGGTAAATACATTAAAAAAACTAAAATTGTGCCTGTGTCCAAATATATATGGACCTAACTGTATATGAGGACTGTACCGAAAGTAATGCAAAAGTGGCCATAGCTTTTTTCTGCACTTTCATAGGTTGTTCAAGTTTCACCTGTTGGTAGAGTAACTCTTCCTCTGTGGTGTGGTGACTCCTCTTCTTTTTCATTGCCAATAAATAATGGATTCCAAGTGGAAGCAATGTGCTGTTATTGAGTTCTTGACGAAGAAGGGGTACAGGCTATCTGGCATCCAAGGCTACAGAATGTCTAGAATGACTAGAGCAATGACTTGTTATTGGTGAATGTGTCATCTCCATAAATTTTCTGTAGCCCTCTGTAGATGTCGGACAGCCTGCACCCCTCCTTCATCAAGAACTCAATGATGGTGCGTTGTTTTCTGTGGTAGTGAGCCCTTGTAGAAGGCCAACTCGGGTCCCAACCCAATCCCAACCTGCTTATTCACCAGGGCCACTGATGGTGGGGATGGACTTGCAGAAAGCTGAGACCAGGTCGCAGCCTCCATGTATGCCCAGCTGACAATGCAGAGACCACTTGTGTGTGCAAAGTACAAATTGCAGAAGACATAAGAGGATCTGAAAAATGGGCCAAGGTCAGGATGGGCGGCAAGCATGAAAAAAACGGTAGAAGAAGCCGGGTCGGTACACGGGAAGTCAGACACAAAATACAAGTGATACAAGACAAACCGGGGGCTCAGAGAAACTGGGAAGTTGCTCAGGCAACACAGGGTGCACTGAACATTTCTTATATAGAGAAGCAGACTGGAAGTGATAGATAGCAAAGGGATATGAATCCACAGTAGACCAGAAGACGCCCATAGGTGAACACGGGTGAGTAGCACATGTAGATATAAACACAGGTCTAGCAGAAGCACAGCAGAATAGAGGTAAGAAGGAACTGCAGGCTAAACCGTAACATTCTGCTTGAAATCCGTTACTTACCTGCAATGAAAAAGAGGAAGAGTTACTCTACCAGCATGTGAAATTTGAATGACCTATGTAAGTTCTGCCTACTTTTGCATGACCAAAGATGGCTTGTAAGTCCCACTAAACCAATACCTACCCCTCATCCTTAAGCTAAGTAACCACACTGACAACAAATGGAGTTGATGGCCCAAAACTGTCCTTTTATTACAACCATCAATAAATAACATTTTTTAAATAACAGAAAAACACAGTATAAACATACGTTCTTTCAAGGTCCCAATAGGCATCAAGAAAACAAATATCCTGCTTAACTAGGCCTCCAGCCACAACATCACCGACTCGGAGACACCACCGCAGATACCCCCACCAGAACAACTGGAAGCTGTACCTCAGACGGGTTCCTACAAAGTGCCTTTTCTTGTGCCCACATTAACCAATGAGGACCTTGCACCTTGCCGGATGTCCCCCAGCACCAATATGGCACAACCACCACCAAGACAAACCATCAAACAACGGGCAGGCTGGAGGGAAGTTTGCCCTGTGAAAACTCTCTTCAGACTGAAAACCCCCTGCCACACCCTGTAAGACCACCCTTCATAGCTCCCCCCACTCCTTCCTTAACTATTTTATCTCTCCTTTATGCTAATGGGACTCTGCGTCTCCCAACCCCCTTTAACCCCTGTCATGCCGGACCTTCGTTCAGGTCTTCTTTCTTTTTACTCCGGGTCTTCCTTTACTTTCGGTACGGTCCTCATACTATTTCAAAACAACAATTTTCTTGAAAAAAAAGTGCCCAATAAATAACACCCCAGTATATACAATTTCAAAAAAGAGCCCCCCTAGAACTGCCCTATGATTATATCGATTTTTTTTTTTCTCAGTGATGTTCAGTTATAAGGGCTTTGATTCCTCTAAGCGTTTGGTGGCACTTGTTCTCTTCTTCAGGAGGATATGGATGTGAAGCTTTTGTGCAGGAAAGAATTTATAAAAATCTTAGAATATATAAAGATTTGGCGCTGGAGGGGTATAGTAGAGCTACTAATAAGTCCAAATTGTCCATCAACAAAGTCCAAAAGGAGGGGAGGGGGAATAAACTATGAGTGTTCCCAATGGGAATGGGCAAAAAACAGCAGCAGCAGCAGCAGCAGCAGTGGCAGCACCCTCAGAGTAAAGCTGGACTCTGTAAGCAAAGGAGAGAGAAGAGAGGGGCACCAGACTAAGTGTAGCATAAGCAGTAACGATTTATTGGCATAAAGACAATTGGCAACTCACAAGAAATATGAAGGGTAAAAGCATGTCACCAGTGATGTGATCCGAGCCAATCCTGAGAGCCGGTATAGGACAGGAGGAGTCCAAGCGTCATAATGGTAGCTGGAAAGGGGATCCTGCAGTGGCCGGCCACTGCAGGGAACCAGCGTGGAATGCAAATGGCGCCGGGGTGGACATGACATCTCTCTCCATAAAAATCTTACATCAGACAGTGAAAAAGTACTGTATTTTTCTCTCCATAAGAAAACATTTTCCCCCCCAAAAATGGGGGAAAATGTCTGTGCATCTTATGGAGCGAATATGGAGCGCCCCGGCCTGGTATTTCCCCCATGTTAGAATACCAGGCTGGCCTCTCAGCTCTTCTCTGCAGACCTCCAGTGGTCCTACCTGTTCCTCGATCCAGCGAGGTCCTCAGTCTTTCTCTCCTCGGCGTCAGCATGGGCACCCGGGTGCCCACTATGCATGCGCGAGAAATGCTGCACTTTTCAATGGACCTGTAATCTTCTGGGACCAGAAGATTACGGGGAGGGAGGGGGAAGGACAACTCTGTTAAAGTGGGAGCGAGTACCTGTCAAATTTGGGTACCAAAGGTCACAGTCTCTAGTCTTCTGTATTGATGATCAGTGCCCTGATGATTGGTGCCCAGTAGTGCCGCCCACAAGTGCCCAGCAGTACCACCCACAAGTGCTCAGCAGTGCCACCCACCTGTGTCCATCAGTGCCCAGCAGTGCCACACAAGTGCTCAGCAGTGCCACCCACCAGTGCCCATCACTGCAGCCCAGCAGTGCCATCCATCACTGCAGCCCAGCAGTGCCACCTATCAGTACCTTTTTATTTTTCAAATTTTTTGCTCTCTTTGTTTATATTGCAAAAAATAAAACACAGCAGCGAGTAAATACCACCAAAAGAAAGCTCTATTTGTGTGCAAAAAATGATAAAAATTTCATATGGATACAATGTTTACCGCGCAATTGTCATTCAAAGTGTGAGAGCACTGAAAATTGGCCTGGGCAGGAAGGAGGTATAAATGACCGGCAGGAAGGGGGTATAAGTGCCAGGCAGGAACGGGGTATAAGTGCCCAGCAGGAAGGGGGTATAAGTGTCCGGCAGGAAGGGGTATAAGTGGGGAAGGGGTATAAGGTCCCGGCAGGAAGGGGGGTATAAGTGCCTGGCAGGAAGGGGGTATAAAGTGTCCGGCAGGAAGGGGGTATAAGTGCCCAGTAGGAAGGGGGTATAAGTGCCCAGCAGGAAAGGGGGTATAAGTGCCCGGCTAGGAAGGGGTATAAGTGCCCAGCAGGAAGGGGGTATAAGTGCCCAGGAAGGGGGTATAAGTGCCCGGCAGGAAGGGGGTATAAGTGCCCGGCAGGAAGGGGGTATAAGTGCCCAGCAGGAAGGGGTATAAGTGCCCGGCAGGAAGGGGGTATAAGTGCCCGGCAGGAAGGGGGTACAAGTGCCAGGCAGGAAGGGGGTACAAGTGCCCGGCACGGAAGGGGTATAAGTGCCCGGCACGGAAGGGGATATAAGTGCCCGGCAGGAAGGGGGTACAAGTGCCTGGCAGGAAGGGGGGTATAAGTGCCTGGCAGGAAGGGGATATAAGTGCCTGGCAGGAAGGGGGTACAAGTGCCTGGCAGGAAGAGGTATAAGTGCCCTGTAGGCAAGGGGTTAAGTCTCTCTCTCTCCTGGCGAAGTGATATAAATACAAATGTAGGTCACTGATCCTTTGACTTGGAACGTAGACAGAGCTGTATTTTTTTTGCTCCTCGGACAGATTGATCAGATATTTTAAGGCCGGAGTTAATTTCTGAAGGCAAAAAGTGAGCTTTTATCCGGCCCTTGTCTGCGCACCAACAGTTCAATGCGATGGCAATGGTCTGAATGTGCTGAGATTGATCGCGGCACGGGAACCTTTTCTGCTTACATGGCAAAATGTAATTGTGTTGCTGAAAATGTGAGAATGACTTTTAGGAAGTGAGGGGAACTTTGGTCCTATGAGATTCTCCGTTCTGCGCTCGGCTGAGGACAGGCAAAGAATATAACTCAGCCTGTTGCAGGCTAAAAGGGAAGAGGATTTAAAGCAGGTCCCAAACCTGCATTTAAACAACTGCTGAGATCAAAGAATTTAGGAAAACAGGTTCACTGTGTCTTAACACTTCCAGTCTGGACACTTTCCCCCCCCCTTCCAGTCCGGACACTTTCCCCCCCTTCCAGTCCGGACACTTTCCCCCCCTTCCAGTCCGGACACTTTCCCCCCCTTCCAGTCCGGACACTTTCCCCCCCTTCCAGTCCGGACACTTTCCCCCCCTTCCAGTCCGGACACTCCCCCCCCCCCCCTTCCAGTCCAGACACTTTCCCCCCCTTCCTGTCCAGGCCTATTTTCAGCTTTCAGCGCTATCACACTTTGAATGACAATTGCGCGGTCATGCAACACTGTACTCATATGATTTTTTTAGCATTTTTTTAGACTGATAAATCTTTATTTTGGTGGTATTTATTCACCACTGGGATTTTTTTCTTTTGTACTATATAAATGAAAAAGTCAAAAAAAAATTTTGAAAAAAGTGTTTTTCTTATAAAATTTTGCAAATAAATAATCTTTCTTCATATAATCTTGGCCAAAATGTATTCCGTTATCTTTTTAGTAAAAAAAAAAAAAAAATAACCCAAATTAGTTTATAACCAAAAATTATAATTTTTCAAAAAAAATTTTTACATTTTAATTTTTTTTTTTATATTATTATTTATGGCTTTTTTTAACGTACTGTCACCCTAGCAGTACAGTGTCACCATAGTGACACTGTACTACTTGTGAGGGGTGATGAAGATTTTTTTTTTTTTTTTTACACTGATTGCTTTTATACCCATAAAGGCTGTAAAAGCAATAATTTCCCCTTCTCTCTGGCTGCATTCTTGCAGCCATTGAGAAATACTGTGTGAGCTGTGATTGGTCACAGCTTGTCACATGGTACAAGGCTGTTGTGAATGGCCCTGTACCATGTGACCTCTGTGATCATTCATAGATTTCACTAGTAGTAAGCAATGATGTCAGGAAGTGACATCTTGCTTACTACTATTCATGTGATCACTGATTGGCCAATCAGACCTCACACAGAGGTCCCATACAGCGATTGGTGATCGCAGTGCTGCGTGCTCCCAGGAAGCGCGCATAGGCTGTAAATGCGGGGCGTCGTTTATGAACGGCAACCCGCTCCTGCACTGTTCCTGTCAGGCCGTTTATGTACATGGGCCAGACGGGAAGTGGTTAAAGCTGATCTGAAGGTAAGGAACGTCTACAGAAGGGTCTCCAAACTTTGGCCCTCCAGCTGTTGAACTACTACAAGTCCCATCATGCCTCTGTCTCTGGGAATCTTGCCTGTGGCTGTCAGAGTCTTGCAAGGCCTCATGGGACTTGCAGTTCCTCAACACCTGGAGGACCATAGTTTGGAGACCCCTGGTCTAGAGGCATTCGCTTTACGTTCCATCACTGCTCCGTCACCAGTGTTTGCTCTCTCAGGTGGAGTAATTTCCTTCCCAACAGTTAAATTATAGTTCAATAGAGGTAGCGGCGCGAGAGGGAGGGAGCATCATGCTGATCATAATGCAAGGGTTTTTATTTAAATTGTTTGCTACATCTAATAATACCAAAAAAAACTAATGGGGTTTCTTGCTGCATTGGCATCAATTCGTGGGGGTTTCTTATTCCAGGTACTGTCACCAATGTTGGGGGTTATTATTGCTGCCACTGACACCATTGTTGGGGGTGTGTTACTGCACCCGCTGACACTGATGTTGGGGGTTATTATTATTGCTATTGACACCAGTGTTGGGGGGTTGTTATTGTGATGACACTGATGAAGGGGTTTATTATTGCAACCAATATTAGGGAATAAATATAATTATTGTGACCAGTGTTTGGGGGTTATTATTGTGACCAGTGTTGGGGTTATTATTATGTGTGGCCACTGTTGCGGGTTATTACTGTAGCCAGTGTTGGGGATTATTATTGTAGCCAGTGTTCAGGGTTATTATTGTGACCAGTGTTGGGGGTTATTATTGTGGCCACTGTTGCGGGTTATTACTGTAGCCAGTGTTGGGGATTATTATTGTAGCCAGTGTTCAGGGTTATTATTGCAGCCAGTGTTGGGGTAATTATTGTTGGCCCTGTTGGGGCTTATTATTGTGGCCAGTATTGAGAGTTATTATTGTGGCTACTGTTGAGGGTTATTATTGTAGGCAGTTTTAGTGGTTATTATTGTGGCCAGTATTGAAAGTTATTATTGTGGCCAGTGTTGGGGGTTATTATTGTAGCCAGTGTTGGGGGTTATTATTGTAGCCAGTGTTGGGGGTTATTTTTGTAGCCAGTGTTGGGGGTTATTATTGTGACCAATGTTGGGGTTATTATTGTGACCAGTGTTGGGGGTTATTATTGTGGCCAGTGTTGGGGGTTATTATTGTGGCCACTGTTGAGGGTTTATTATTGTAGCCACTGTTGGGGATTGTTGTTGTAGCCACTGTTAGAGGCTATTATTGTGGCCAGTGTTGGGGTTATTATTGTAGCCAGTGTTGGGGGTTATTATTGTAGCCAGTGTTGAGGTTATTATTGTGACCAATGTTGGGGTTTATTGTGATTAATGTTGGGGTATTATTGTGACCAGTGTTGGAGATTATTATTGTGACCAGTGTTGGGGGTTATTATTGTGGCCACTGTTGAGGGTTATTATTGTAGCCACTGTTGGGGGTTGTTGTTGTAGCCACAGTTAGAGGCTATTATTGTGGCCAGTGTTGGGGGTTATTATTGTAGCCAGTGTTGGGGGTTATTATTTTTAGCCAGTGTTGGGGGTTATTATTGTAGCCAGTGTTGGGGGTTATTATTGTAGCCCGGGTTATTATTGTGACTAGTGTGACCACTGTTGAGGGTTATTATTGTGGCTAGTGTCGAGGATTATTTATGCAGCTACTGATGCTAATGCTGAGGGTTGTTAATGTGGCCATGGACACTGATGTTGGGGGTTATCATTGCTGCTACTGACAACAAAGCAAAGGGCAAACGGTATCACACTACAAGCAATACATCCTGAAGGCTCCAATGAAAGAAAAGGGCATCCAAGAAGCACTGGAACTTTGATGTGAATTTAAACAAGGTAGTGAGAGGAAAAAAAAACATTTGAAGAGCCCACTGGCTCAAGTTAGGCTGCTCACAACAGACAAGGTACCCTCCAGTGGATACCCCAGCAGGTCACCAAAAAAAAAAGGGCATATATGAAAGGAGCACCAGACCAAAAGATAAAAAGAGTCCGAATTAATTTATTGATATTGTGTTAAGTGACTTCCAACGCGTCTCAGGGATCAAAGGAACTCCCCCTTCATCAGGACTTAATTAAAAAGGAGAACCTGGAGTGGACTCAAAGTAAAGGCTTTCCTGTTTGAATCTGTGCAGGAAAGCTGATTGCTGGATTAGGATTCCTGGCCAGCAGTATCTGCATCAGCATTTAAACAAGAAAGCCTTTATTTTGAGTCCACTCTAGGGTCTCCTTTTTAACTGAAGCCTTGATAAAGGGGGAGTTCCTCTGACCCCCCGAAACGCGTTGGATGTATTTTAACACAATATCAATAAATCCATTTGGACTCTTATCTTTCGGTCTGGCGCTCCTTCCATATATGCACATACACTCTAAAGGGACATACACTTTATTGACCATGCCTTCTTTTTGGATGCGGTTTCACTTTTTCACCTAATTATTTATAAATGTTGGCAGCTATTACTATTGCCCGCTGACACCAATGATGAGGGTTATTTTTATGCTCACTTATACTAATGACAGGGTATATTTTTATATCCACTTATACCAATGGCAGGTTTATTTTTACACCCAATCACTGGCGATACGGGTATTTTTACACCCACTTACACAAATAACATTGTTGTGTTTTTGCACCCACTGATACCAATGACAGGTTCATTTTAGGCAAACCAACACCAATGACAAATATTATTTTTGCACTTATTGACCATTAATGTAAGGCGCATAAAATATAATAGTGGTGTACCGCTGATAACTAAACGTGCAAACTCCACAATAATAAGATAAAAAAACATAAATCACATTAATGAATGAATATAAATATATAAGTGATATATCTTTCAAGATCTAGAAAAAACAGTGTCTCAAACTGGGATATTAACAGTACACACAGTGCATATTTTTCTTATTATACAGGATTTATATCGCGCCAACAGTTTGCTCAGCACTTTACAATATAACGGGAGACAATACAGCAACAATACAGTTCAATACAAGAGGGATTTGAGGGCCTGATCCTGGGAGCAGGGGCGGACTGACCATTTGGAAACTCAGGCACTGCCCGAGGGCATGGGGTCAGTAGGGGGCCCCATGAAATGCCCCTGGTACCTTTTTCATAGGCTTTTTTGAGTTTGGACAAGGACACAGGGGCCCCATGATCCCCTATTGCCCGGGCGCCCCATGTGTTGTCAGTCTGCCCCTGCCTGGGAGTGTTAGGGATCCGGGTATGACCAGAAATGTGTGGACTGACACAGGGAAGTAGCAGGCTTCATGAACACAGGCTTAGTCAGGCTGGAGAGGTGGAATGGTCAGGCAGACCGTAAGGTACTGTCAGGTGCCACCTGGCAGTGTCTCTAGCAGCCCACAGCACA